AAATAATTGATTTAAAAACAAACAAACCATTGCCTTGAAAAAATCGCCTTAGAACATATAAAACCTGATTGAAAAACAAATATTGTAAACATGTTTTAAAAACTGTAAAATATTTTACAAACCTTACCAAACACATACTTTATTTTTTTTGGGTCATCACCAGTGTTCTAAAATACGGTTCAAACGTCTGCGTATACGACGATCGTTTAAGCGCATAACGTATTTTAGAACCCTGGTCATCACCAAACATATTCAATGTCATAAATTATAATATGAATATCTTATCATAACCCAAATGAAAGTCTGCATGATGCATTCTACCTGACAAGTGTCGTTGTGTTTCTTGTTCAGAACAAAAAATATATATATATATCGTTGTGTTTGGGCTTAACCAAATAACCAAAGAAATTTGTTTTGGCAATAATAACACCGAGAAATACTACAAAACAAAACGCTAATTTTGTTTTAATTAAATCTCTATGAATTATTATAAAAACTAGAGATCTAAAAACTAAAATTGTTACAAATTAAAAAAACGATATTATTGAAATCTATTTTGGAGTGGAGGTTTTTTTTTCTCTGAAAAAGGCTTATTATTGGATTAGACGTTTTTCTAAATAAGATCAGTTATTTGTCAATAGATATTTCGAAGCTACACTACAGAAAAACAAAAAGATTCATTATATTTTATAAGCAATATCTATACGATAAAATAACTATAGATTGAAAATCTAACTCACATTTGACAAAAAAAGAAAAAGAAAATCTAAATCACAACATAAATACTACGAAAATTCTACTGGCGACAAAGCTAGTGTACATCATTGCTAAAATTTCATCTCTATTTGGCATTCACTCACAGAGATCGCCAATATGAGATCTCCCTGTGATGTGGTTTTATACTCATAACTCGTAAGTCGTAACTAAGTACATGGAAAATTAGTGCTCTGCTCCGACTTTTTTCTAATTCATTCTTTCATTACAGTTTTGTGTCTTTCAAAACATTACATTTTTTCTATTGTAAAAACTTTTTTTTGTTGCGATAAAAGTTAACATTCCAACAAACAAAAATACTACGAAAATTCAATGCTTGCATGAATCTAGAGTAGAATATGAATTTCGTAATATAATCTACATATATATTACTTTTCAAAGGCGCGATGATGATCGTATAAAATTTGCTGTGGCCTAGTTGAAAGGTTTCCTACTTTGTTCAGAAATCCAACTAAAATAATAAAATATGTGATGATTTCGTAACCCTGCATAAAATCACGTACAAGCAATCATATGCCATTTATGATCGATCCAATATAGTAGTATAATCTAACGTCTATCTAAGTATGCAAATAATATCCATGTGAATTGTTTGAATAATTACATTTTATCACAATTTTTGTATAACCGTAATTTATTAATTGATTTGCATTACTATGATTATAGATCTTTTTCTCGAAATAGATTTATTACCCCAAGAATGATCATACTCTTAGATTTAGAGAAATAATAGATTAAAATTTCAAATTTTCTGGTTATATTTTAAATGATAATCAGTAACTCGTTTTTCTAATTGGGGAAAAAAAGGAATATCCTTGTTATGGCTTATCTTCAAATTAAAAGATTATATTTTAATGTCCTTATAACAAAATAAATTAAATCTAAAAAAGTAAATGAACTGAAGAAAGCACATCATATAGAATTATACACTATTTGGACAAAAATTGCTCGGAGTAAAGCATTTTTAGTTTCTAGAATCAAATAAGTATATATTTTTTGTCGACAAACCATATAAATAAATTGAAAATTCAAAGTCATCACTCATAATCGATATCGAAGTTGACTAGATATTGTTTTCTATATTTAATGTATTTAAGGACCAGCTAGCTTTTGCTTTTATTCTATCTAAATGATATCAGTTTCTTCATTTTGAAGCTACACTTTGTCAACCTCAAAGTTGCATACCTCCTTTCATAAAGAAACTTTATTTATGATTTTGCGTTTTTTATACATGAGGTATAAGTTGTCAAATGCTTTTTACCAAAAAAAAGAGAGCAAAAGTCTTTAAGTGGTTTCAAATCTCTCTTTAATTACTCTGAATTTGATGCCTTCAAATTTTGATAGACCAAAATTTTAGTATACAAATGTGAGCATATGAGTATGTATATAATAATGTCGGACGTATAATTATTATATTATATATCTAAATGTTGCATATAATAATGTCGGAATGTATAATTTCAGATACTTGGGTACGAAAAAATCAAATCACTTTTACTTATAATCATTTTATTGGCATACGAAACCTAAATATATATACCCCGCAAGTTACTGCAGCTGCTTATGTCATATATGTCAGCTTAGAAGTTGAAGAAAACCCCACAAAATATAAGACGATTCCTTTTAGGTGAAGTAACCTGAAGAATTAAGTTTTGTATATTACTTTTGAAATTTAGCTAATTGTTTTAATAAAAAAAAGCTTTTTCATAAATTTTCGTGTGGACATGAACATTGTATAGGCTTTTTATGGCATGTGACTGAACAACTTAAAAACTTATAAAAAGATGTTTTTTTTTATTCTCTCACGTGTGTTGGTACCAATCCGTGTGCCAACTTTCTCTTCTTTATTTTTTTTTTTGTGGAAAAAAGAAAATAGTTGTGCTTTTGAGAAGAAAAAAAGAAAGTTGTTTTCTTTGATGCTTATTCCAAACTTGAAAGACACAAGTTCTAGCCTATTAAAGGTTAGAGTTTCA